CCCACCGAGATGACCTCGATGGGCCTCAGGAGCGACTCCTGTTGGCCAAGCTTGATCAGTCAACTTTCCCGATTCCTCTTGTGCTAGGATTACGGAGTCCTCCGATTGGCCAAGCTACCTCCGCTCTCCTCTGTCTGGGATCTTGGTTTCCCCCGGAGTTCGAGACAACCCTCGAGTTCTGCCTTACGTAGTCCTTCTCTAGACTCGCCCAATATGGTTCCTATCCAAAAACATGCTGTTCAGGCACGAATGCCTGGTCCATACCCGGCCACAACGAGTCGAGATTGCTCCATTCATCAACAGAAAAGGCCATGCTGAAGACGTCTTGCATGGAAGCAGCGTTCAGGTCACCAAAACCCAGGGCGCCATCCCACGTCTTCGCCGCAGCGGACATGTCCTGCACAGGAAAGGCACTGCCCACAGCCCCCGAACTCACCGGCGCCATCAACGGTTGACTCCCCAGCTCGACCGCCTTCTCCTGGGCCTGCTGGGTGAGGAAGTCGACCTTGGCGCCGAGATCGCGCATGATCCTGGCGGCGCTGGTGGCAATGGCAAAGCTATCGCTGAAAATGTCGAACACTGCAACGGACAGGTCCATGGCGCATCTGGCCTCGGCTGTGATGGCGCTGGTCGCGCTGGAGGCGGCGCGGGAATGGGCGAGCACAAAGCCGACGAGGGTTAAGGCGGCGTTCCACTGCAGCTGGAAAGCCTCGTGCCAGCCGGCCAACAGGGTGGTTGTTGAGAGGACTTGATGTGTGATCTTTGTCACGGCCATGGCGTGTAGGGCACACTGTACGGCGGCCTCCTCGACGACGGTGGGGGCGGCGGGCCCGAAGGAGATGAAGGGGCGGTAGAGGTTTGCGGCGAGGTGGTGGTACATCAGCTCTAGGACGAGGCGCTGCCGTTGAAGCCAGAGAGGCGCGAATGGTTCGATGTCGAGGACCGATCCGTCGGTGGAAAACGAGGCGGCATCGTTCTGCCGCTTCGTCCTTAGGGCGGCGGGTACGCCGGCAACCCACTCGTCCAGGACCTTCATGTAGGGGCCGATAAACTCGGCGTGATTCGCCAGCGCACGTTGGTCATCCCAGATGGTCTGGCCGCTGTCGATGTTGGGACTCTGGTCGTAAAAGGCCGTATGCACCGTCCGGGCTGCATGGAACAGCTTCGATTGCTGGAGACCGAAGCTCAGCCAAGTGAGGTTGTCTCCCAGGGGGGCGAAGTGGGATCCCGATTGCAGCGCTGCTTCGAGGTCATCTCCATGCAAAGAGGGCGTGTAATCGGAAACGGGTGGCAGCAAGAACGGGCGGCCTAGCTTTCATGCTCGATCTTGCTATCCAGGACGTAGAGGGCTCACTCACAGACGCTTTCTGCATCTCTCTCTCTCGTTGGGGTATAGTCTGTGGAGGCTCGAGGTGGAGACCAAGCATATAAGCTCGCACGCACAGCAAGGCCACAGGCGCTATCAGCCATGTTTTGGAACGAGCCACAGCACAAGTAGATGCAACACAGGAGATGACACTGCAGGGTCGACACGGTAGGGGCTCTCCAGCTCGCGGGCCCAGCAGGGTCTGGGAACAGCGAGTAGTGCCATCGGCCGGCGATGGCGGCGTCGGTGTTATCCACGGAGGCCTGCTGCTTCACGGCGGGCAACATGGACATGCCGTACTGCATGCACATGGCGACTACAATATCGACGAGTGCCGACGGCTTTCGCGTGTTGCCCGATGCGGTCCATAGGGACCTGTAGTGCTCCTTGAAGGCTGCCTCGTCAATGACGGGAAATAGTGAGGTATGGTAAGACTGCCAGTACAGGTCGAGGAAGTATTCCTCTTGGGTCGGGCTCAGGTAGGTTGCCTTTGCGAGAGAATCTGCTGGGAGATGGTTTGAGGTTGAACCCAACTGTTCCTCAGGAGCGGCGGTCGGTTCATCGAGGCGCCTACTCGATGAGTCGAGCAGCATGTGATCGGGAGAATGCGTCTGTTGCAGCGTCCGGTCCAGGAAGTTGTTGATACGGCCGATGAAGTAGAACAGCGACGAGGGCCCGTACCATGTCTTGTGTGGAGACCGGGCTGTGCTCATGCGGATGCCTCCCCAGGCATTGTTGGTTCGCGATGACGATGACGATAAAGACGACAACAAAGGCAACGACAACGAGCGAGTGTATTGCATGTCAGAGGTGACACTACCAAGGTCCGGAGGGGACATGGTGCTGGGGGTGTCCATGCCCCGACCCTCTCGTTCCTGGCGGAGTTCCAGCTCCAACTCGTGCACCTTCTGGCGAAGACGGTCAATCTCGCGATGGGCCATGGGAAGAGAAGCCGTCTTCATGGACTCATTGCTACACTCCCCTCCTCTGTTGGCGCAATTGGAGCATGGGTAGTGGTTATCGCACTTGACCCGATGTTTCCGACACCAGTCGCAGGCCCGGACTACTTGGCTGCGTTTTGCCCGGGCCCGCGGGGGGCCAGATTTGGCAGCACTCGGCTGGGATGGCTGGGATGGCTGGGATTTCCCGCATGCTTCTGGAGTGTTCCGACTGAAAGTTGTCGACATTGTGATTAATTCGGGTTGAAGGCTGGAAACTTGAAGGTGGGCAAGTGCCAAGTGGGGTGGGGCCTTGGAGCGAACGCGCCGAAGTGAGAAAAGGAGAGATCCGGCTTGGCGAGTCATCACTCAGCGATTGAGGCAAGCAGTCTTGGCAGCAGTCCATGCTTGATGGAGCAGCCCAGGCTCGGAGCACTCCGAGGAGCTCCCCGAACCCCCGAAACTTGAAACTAATCCTAGCTCTTCACATCACAGCAAGAACTGCTTGGAGGCAAGAGAAACTACTCCGGATGACGAAATTTGCATTCAGTGGAGACAGCCTCAGGCTTTTACCATGGATTCAAGAAGTATAAAGCGATGGGAAAGCTCCAAAGGATTGAGCAATGCATCCCATCTTCGCAGGACAGTTCATCAGAAAACTCACAGTTCATCACAGTCTATCGCATTCATTCATCTCAATTCAACAATCTCGACCGAGTCTTGACTCGAGCATTCATCTCATCCATCTCCAAGACCTAGTTACTTAGGACAGACTCCCTCATCACACCATGCCTAGCTTTACCGTTTTCAAGGGTGGCAAGGATGGTGCGCCCAAGAAGTCCACCACCCAGAAACCTGATCAACTTATCGGGGATCAGGTGCTTGTGAAAGTAACAGCATCTGGTGTTTGCGGAACTGGTATGTGACCCTTATGTGTTCACCCCTCTATGTTTATTTCCCATCAACTAACAACCTCCTAGATCTCCACTATGTTAGTTACCTATTTAATCCAGCCTTACATCACCCATCACCACCATTTACTGTTTACTAACAAGTCAACAGCTGACATCGGACATGGTTCTTGGCCACGAGGGCGTCGGCGTCGTCGAGGATGTCGGGCCCGAGGCCAAGTACCTCAAGAAGGGCGACCGTGTGGGCTGGGGCTACGAGACTGACAGCTGCGGCCACTGTCACGAGTGCATCCGCGGTGAAGAAATCTTCTGCCCCGAGCGCGCCATGTACGCCGGCGCCAACCTCGACCAGGGCAGTTTTGCCTCGGGTGCCATCTGGCGCGAGGCCTTCCTACACCCCATCCCCGACGGCATCACCGACGAGGAGGCCGCGCCCCTGCAGTGCGGCGGCGCCACCGTGTACACCGCCCTCTACGACGTCAGGCCAAACGAGGTCGTCGGCATCATGGGCGTCGGCGGCCTCGGCCACCTGGCCATCCAGTTCGCCGCCAAGATGGGCTGCCGCGTGGTCGTGTTGTCGGGCTCTGACAGCAAGCGGGACCAGGCCCTGGCCCTGGGCGCCCACAAGTTTGTCGCCATGAAGGACCTTGACAACGCGAGCAAGGAGCTCGCCGGCTCGTGGGCCATCTCGCGTTTGTTGGTGACCACGGCCGCCCAGCCCGCTTGGGACACCCTTCTGCCCATAATGGGTCCCAAGTCGCGCATCTATCCGCTCTCCGTCTCGGCCGGAAATCTCGTCATCCCGTACATGCCGCTTATTCTCCAGGGCATTGCTGTTCAAGGGTCGCTGGTTGCCACCAGGAGCGTACACCGCGAGATGCTGGAATTCGCCGCCGCGCACAACATCCGGCCTGTTATCCAGACCTTCCCCATGACGGAAGAGGGCATCAAGGAGGCGCTGGATCTGCTGGAGCAGGGCAAGGTGAAGTACAGGGCCGTCTTGGTCGCGCAGTGATTGGGGCTCCGGTTTTATTTTTGGTGTTATCAAGTATTTGGATAGATTGTTGATTGGCATAGATTGGGAGCGTTAGACTTGGGTTTTGTCATGTTTTAGGCTGCAAGGACGAATATACCGGCGTATGTATATGTAAATAACGATCATTTTGCCTTGACTCGCACAGCCCTTGTTCGCACCATGCTCAACTCACATCTCCAAAAGTGCCTACCCCCAATACGTCCACTCTCCCTCACGAACACCCATTACAATCCGGGTCAGGGTTATTCCCCCACGTCCGCACCGCCAACCCCCTCGCCACACGCTCACCCGGCTTCGGCTCCAGCTCCAGCACCAACACCTCATTCGTCTTCTTCAACCACGCCCCCGGCACAAACAGCTGCTGCTGCGGCCCAATCGTCCAATACCTCCCCAAATTATGCCCATTCACAAACACCACCCCCTTCACCCCCCCAGGCAACTCCAAAAACGTATCTGCCGCCATCCCCTCCCTCCCGTTCTCAAACGTCCCCCGATACAAAACCGGCTCCCCCCCCTCCCTCACCACCACTTCATGCCCATCGGCGGAAGCAGGCAACCACACGAACACGCCCTCCAATAAGTTGCCACCAATAGCTAATGTAATATGCGACAGCATCAGTCAGATGAATTTGGAATATGCTGTTTTTATCTGTTCCCTCCAATCCAGAACGGAGCGATGAAAACGCCATGCTATGCAAAACTCCCCCTCTCCCCGCCTCAATCCCGAGTGACGGGACCGCCGGCCCCCGAGCAACTGGAGTTGACTAACACCGGAAATACCTTTTCTCCACCCATCTTTCCTCGATATCATGCACCACCTGCCCAACCACCGCCGCCATCTCGGGAAACACCTTGGTCAACCTATG